GAAGCAGACGGCTGGGGTTCACTGGGTGTGGGTGGGGACAAAGGGAAGCTGGGGTCTGCCTCAGCCAGCATCTGACGGAGTACTGGGGGCTGGTCAAGTTCTTGTCCGAAAACCCATCAAGCTGCGTTCTAATGGCCTACATACTCTCTCCTACGGACACGAAAACAGAGCAGAACAGATGAGCTACAGGCAGATGCTGAATCTCGAAAGTAGCTGGGAAACATCATCCTGACGCTAAGAAGCTAAAAAAGACAGATGAAACCAAAAGGGGCCCCAAAGGACCACCACACAAACCCCAAACTCACTGCCATCGAGTCAGAGCTGACTCACATCGACCCGAGGACAGGGTAGACCGGCCCCTGTGAGCTTCCGAGACGGAGCTCTCCATGGGAGTAGAAAGCCTCGCCTGTCTCCCTCAGAGTGGGCTGGTGGTTTGAACGGTTGACCTTGAGGATTGCAGCCCAGGTCATCACCACTAGGCCACCTGGGCTCGGAAAAGGAACACGGTATACACACACACAAGCCCTGCAGGGGGAGCCCCAGAGCTAGCTGTTCAGCAAGTCACCACAGGGCAGTTTGAAGACACCCAGAGAGAGGCACCTTGGGAGACAGACCTGGTGACCTGTTTCCAAAAGGTCACAGCCTTGGAAAAGCCAATGGCACGGTTCCACCCAACAAACAGGGGTCCAAGATGAACAGCCAATCTTTCAAAAACAAATTTTATTTTCTTGGGGGCTCTTACAGCTCTTATCACAATCCATACATAATATCCACTGTGCCAAACACATCTGAACCTACGTTGCCATCATCTTTTTCAAAACATTTTCTTTCTACTTGAGCCCTTGGTATCCACTCCTCATCCTCCCTCCCCCATGAGCCCTTGATAATTTATAAATTCTTTTTTTTTTCATGTCTTATACAATCACTATTTATTTCCCTTCACCCACTTTTCTGTTGTCCATCCCCCTGGGAGGGGGCCATATGTCAATTATTGTAATCAGTTCCTCCTTGCCCCCCTCCCCTTTACCCTCCTAGTATTGCTACTCCCCTTATTGGTCCTGAGGGGTTTATCTGTCCTGGATTCCCTGTGTTTCTAGCTCTTATCTGTACCAGTATACATGTTCTGGTCTAGCCAGATTTGTAAGGTCGAATTGGGGTCATGATCGTGGGGGTTGGGTGGGGAGGGGGAGAGCATTAAAGAACTAGAGAAGCAGTCCTTAACCTGTGGGTCACAAACCCTTTGGGGGGGTTGAACAACCCTTTCCCAGGAGTCCCCAAATTCATAACTAGCAAAATTACAGTTATGAAGTAGCAACAAAAATAATTTGATGGCTGGGGGGGATCACCACAACATGAGGAACTGTATTAAAGGGTCTTGGGATTAGGAAAGTTGAGAATCACTGAACTAGAGGAAGGTTGTGTGTTTCGTCAGTGCTATACTGCACCCTGACTGGCTCATCTCTTCTTTGTGGCCCTTCTGACAGGGGTGTCCAATTAACTACTGATGGACTTTGGGTCTCCACTCTACCCTCCCCATCACTCCCATTGATATGATTTTTTGTTTTGTTTTGTTTTGGATCTTTGATGCCTGATCCCTGATCCCTTCGACACCTCGTGATCACACAGGCTGGTCTGCTTCTTCCATGTGGGCTTTGTTGCTTGTCAGCTAGGTGGTTGCTTGTTTACCTTCAAGCCTTTAAGACCCCAGACGCTATATCTTTTGATAGGCGGGTACCATCAGCTTTCTTCACACTTGCTTATGCACCCATTTGTCTTCAGGAATCATGTTGGGAAGGTGAGCATCACTGAGTGTCATGGACACCAGTCTGAAGTCACTGCTGCCCCTCCTTGTAATAACATCTCTACTTCAATTCATAGTGGCCATATCCTTATGTCAGAGATGACATACACGACAAATTATTTCAAGTCCACATAAGCGCCATCCAAGAAAACCGAATTTAGAAGACATCGGCCGATACATGTTCACTGGAGCCTCCAGAGGAAGCACAGGCCACGGTGCTGAATCCTAAGCACATGAGCAACACACGCAATGACGCCGAATGCAGGAAAACCACAGCGCTGGCGTGGGTCTCCACGTGGCTCCTCCAGCTCCAGGCCTCTGGCTCCATCAGTGTGTCTCCAAGTGGCTTGTCAACAGGACTGTCTCCCTAGGAGATGAAGCAGAGAGAGTGTATCTGGCCTCCAGTGAGCTATTTATCTCGGAGGTGCCTCTAAATGATGGCATCAAGCTGTCCACCCCTTCGTAAGTTGACAGGAGATGATGTAACTGCCACACCAGCATTTCTGGACCAACCTCACGATGGGACCTTCTCGGCACAACAGGTAACAAGCATGGCGTGCTCTGGGAAGAACTGCTCTTGGCTGATCTAATCTTCATCCCGCGTCATTCAGTCAGGGTCCATCTCCCCAGAAAATTGTAGGCAAGGGCTGACCCTGACACCCGCGAGGTCCATTCAAACTCACTGCCGCTGAGTAAATTCGGACGCGTCGCCATCCTACAGGACAGAACAGAACTGTCCCCGTGAGTTTCCGAGGCTGTAGATGTTTTAGGGGAGCAGAAAGCCTCATCCTTCTCTCTCGGAGTTTCTGGTGGGTTTGAACTGCTGACTTCATGGTTAGCGGCATGACGTGAAGCCCCCAATCAGTTGGTCTTCCTGTGGTGGCTTGCGTGTT